CTGAGCATACCAAGATTTTAAACCATGGAAGAAATTGTAAAGTACATAATTCAGTTTGTTATACATATCTGTTTCTCTCAGTACCTGTTCTTCAGGTTTCATAGCTTTTAAGACTTACTGGTATGGTAGCCTTTTGATCATATGAGCATAGTCCTACTTTTCTTTTATTACTTCATGTATATTTTGCGACTTGTACCTTTAATAAATATACTTTTGGATCTTAAAATCCTATTCCAAGTAGAAAGGTTTGAGGGAGGGGGAGGAACTTTTTCTGTCAAAGAAAGAATCCAAAGTTTTTAATTACAGCAAATTAAGAGAAATGTTACATGGTGTTTCTGGGGACAGACTTATTTTTCCTGTTTGAATGATGAATATGTCATCAGTGCAGTTATCTACTTTGTCCAGTGTTCATATTTTCAAAAAGATGCAGTAATAAAAATAAACAGCAACTGATACCCTAATGTTAAAAGGTTATCATTTTTTACATAGTACGAGTTTATACATTACCATGTGTGACATCATTTGAAATGTTGTTTGTGGCTGTTTAAACAACTGAAAAATCTCTTCGGGTTCATCAATATAGGGAAATGTATCATGTGACAGTTCTATTCTGGAATAAGCATGGCTCTTGACTTCAGATTCAGCTGCTGCTATAGTGACATTTTATAATGGCGGGGAGAACCCTACTTATTGTGGAATAAGATTGTATGTGTGGCGTTCAGTTGGCATAATGATACCAGATTGGTTCTGCCAGTGGATTTTTTCCGTGCAGACTGGTCCTTTTCAACAAGTCTCTCAGCCTTAGACTGCATAACTAGATTCTTATATTGATATTCACTGCAACTTTGTAGTTTGTGTGTTTTGATAACTGCACTGTACAAAATAATTATAATTAGATCTCCTGCACAAAATGGCCATTGTGGGCTAACCAGAGTTTAACTTGTTTTGAGGCAGAGATAGAGAGGGGAAGCTTGAAAATTGCTTTTAAAAATTAACAATTGGAAGGATCATGTTAGCACAAAATAATTGTAAAGTTGTTATATGTCCTGAAGACACAGCGAAAACAGTGAAATTATTAGAATATATTTTAAAGCTATTCAGATTCAAAAAGTGCTGCGTTCCTAGCACCTAGAAATGTGGGGATTTTTGAACCCCTATTACTTACTTTAGCTTGTTAAAAAGTCAAGTTGCATGGGTCCCTTCCATGTGTAGAACTCGGCAGTCTAGCATATGTTTAGAAATGTGAATTATTTAGGGTCTCCAGAATTCCTAGTGGAACAGAGACTGAAAACATTAAGCACTTGGCAGTAAGTAAGCTCTGAGAAGTTTTGCTTCATTAATCACTATATAAATCTCACAGACCTGATTAATAGGGCACATGTGAGGAACAGCAAATTAAAACCAGTAATTTCTGTCGGTATTCTTGGTAACAGTTATTGGCAGATGTTCAAAAGTTCCAAGGCCTCCAAGATGTATACACAATTAGTTTGAAACTTAAAATTCAGAATTTTCTCTCATTTAGATCTTTATCATTTGATGACCATATAAACCATCAATATGTCACTGGTAATTTGAAATAAGTCTTTTACAGCAAAAGCCGAAAGCTTAGAGGCCAATGGAGGAGTGAATAATTTTTCCTGTGAACATTATATAACTTCAGAGCTATTGACTTGGCTGCTTTCTGTTGCAAGAGGTTTGGGAACTGTTCCTAAATTGTACTTAGCTAAGAATGAGTGGAGAATAATATCTGAAATGCACAGTGTAGATTTTCCAGTGATATCTAGTTTTCCTGGTTAGTCCCTGTAATATTTTAAGGGGAGTAAGATGATGGTTAGAAAAAGCAGAACTTTTATCTTCCAAAGAATTTGAACAGGCTAAATCTTTTTAGTTGAGAATGTCTTGCCTTGTGTTTCATTGTACAGTTATTTTTTCCCAGTTACTTTAGCCATACTTAAATTTCCATTTAGCATTTTCTTTGGGTCCTTCACTCTATAGGTTATTCCGAAGGGTTAGCTAATACAGCTTACTTTTTCAGTTATTCTAAGTTTACTATGTTTGTATTCATCCGTCTTGTTAAAAAAAGCATTGAGAGACTACATGTGGTACTTCCACCTTGATAGCTTATTTTTTTAAAAATAAGCTTTTAGCTTCTGGTCTTATTACTAGTTTTCAAGTTCTAAATGTTATTTTCAAAGAAAAGAGCTTAAGTCTGTTTTCTATTTAGCATGGGGCAGTGGTAAACTATAGTTCACCATATCATTTATGAAAGTTTTTAATGATTTTGATTTGCCTTACTACAACCAACCATGCAGTAATTCACTTTAATTTTGTGAGTGTGTTTGCACTTGCTAAACAGGCACACTTATCCTTTGTTACACAGCTAAGAAGGATGGAAACTTTGCTCATAACACTTTACTTGGTTTTGCAACAGATTTTGTTAATAGACAGGTTCTGTTTGAGTCTGAATCTATATATGACCAAAGGATTCTTGATTTGGTTGCAAAGCTAGAGCGGTTGTTTGAAAATGAATTTAAATGTTAGCCTATAGAACTCCTTTTATTAAAATATTTCACTGGGTGGATGTAGATTGCTAGGTGTTTATCATATACATCAACTTGGTTTTTTTCATAGCAGATTTGCAATATCCATTTTCTAGTTCTAATAGTACTATCTACCAGTACACTTTCTGACATTGGGTGAAATTTTGGCATTCCTAGCGTAAATGGGAAATTTTCCTTTCATTTTAATGCATCCAGGTGTCTGTTATGCACAAAATTCCTGAGATGTGTGCACTGCTTATGTTGTACACATGTTCAGTTTTATGCTATAGTGCACGCTCTGTCTCTCTCTCGTTAAATTCTACAGATAACCTAAAATGTTCAGATGGAATACAGTAAGAATGTTTTCAGTACAACAGAAATAATTGGTTCATGCTGTTAGTTTTCTCATGTATGTTAAACTACTCCTATTTGTCATAGTTCTTCATTGTGTACTACAGAAATGAGTTTAATGTTTGAGAGCTGTCACTGAACTCTTAAGCAAGCAGATCAGCCCCATGCATAATTACATGTGTAAGATATTTTGCGAGCAAGTCTGCATGTGTATGAAAAAATAAGTAGAAAACTTACCAACAAACAAACCTTATCGATGCTTTGCTTCTATAGTAGACTGAAAATCCAAGTCAACTTGCTTTCGCTGCTTGCATTACCCGGTATTGTGTTTTGTTAATCTGTCATTCTAGTGAAGACTGCTTTTCTGCCTTCCCTTATTAGATCCAAGCTGCATTAGAAAATAGAACTTTTCCATACAGTTAACCAAATTAATTAAATTAATTAAAAAAGTATAATTGAAGTTCCAGTGTATTCTGTTCCAGAAAAGGGGTAGAAGTGTTTTTGAAGCTGCAGTGTTTTACGTGTTGTTTGCAGGAATGCACTAACTAGCTACAGCTGATTCAGATTCCATATAGAGCACGCTTGGGCAGTTTTTCTTTTTTTAAACAAACACACACTAGTCTTAGATGTTCAGCCCACCTATGATGTCATTTTGAACTCACTGAAGAACAGAAGAAACTCCTCCTTTGGATTTGCTATCCACAGCCTTTGGAAAAGGATGGGGGAGGGAGCCTGAAAAGCTATGAACAAGGAAAGATTGTTTGCCAGTTTAAGGCAGGGCACCATATGGCAACAGACTGTGCAAGAGTTCAGCAGGCAATTACAAATCAAACATTTTACTACACTGCCTAAAGATGCTTTTCAAGTTTATTACAGAACTGGGCTTCATTTAGAAGAGAGATTCTTTCAGGCTGATAAACTTAATTTGTGTCACTGGGAATAAAAGAGGCAGACTGACTGGATAGTGGAGGAAAAGTGAGCCATTTATAGTCTAGAAGAATGCTGTACCGAATGTCACATTTAATTCTTAAAGTTTACTTGATAAGAAACGGATCTAGTTGTTGCTTATAAAGAATCTGATACATGTGGAAAATATTAAAGTTATGTATGATGGTTGTGAATAGGTATTTGAATATTAGATAACATCTGATTAGTATTAAAAGAAGCAGAAGTTACATGGCTTGCACATTTCAGAAATGATGAATATTACTTCCAGTTCTGTCGCTTTAAAATTTGTGCATGAATATCTTCTGTCTTTTAGTTTTCTTTTCAGTTTCTTCACCAAAAATACAGTTTAAGTAAATCTTGGAAATTATTTACTTTTGCATTTTCTTTTTTACAAAATTGTTCTAATTTCATAAGGGTGACCCAAGGATCTTTTATTTTGCAGAAAAACTGTTTAGGTGTCATTGAATGCATCAAAAAATAAAAATGCTGTCACAGGGTCTTAAGCAAGAATGAATTGTTCAGATATCTTTTTCCAAAATAAGAACTTGCTTGCCCATAGAACACTTCTGTCACTAAAACTTGTAAATAGCATCTACCTTTTTATCTTAAGGGTGTAAGGCAGGGGTGGGCAAAATCTGTTTGACCTTCGGGGCCCCTAAAAAGAATATAGAAAATTAATATTAATCTGCCCTGGCTGCCTGTCATGCAGCTTCAATGGCTTGTCAAAACTCAGTAAGCAGCGCTCTGCCCAAAATAATTACCTGCCCCTGATGTAAGGTCTTTACAGCAGGGCCTTTTATTGATTCAGCAGTACCTGGCATATAGTACCTGAATGCTTTAAGCTAAGCCAGCCTAGTTCAAAGCAGTTAAGCAGTACCATAATATGATGTTTTAATATTTTTTTTGTTGTTACCAATGTATTCCTTTCATTAATAAATATTCTAATTCTGGTAAAGGAGAGGAAATAAAATTAGGCCTTGTATAGGATTATGTGCAATTACTTTCTGCTCACGTTCTTATCTGCCAAACAAAATAATAGTTTCTGAGCCTCAAAGTCTCCCAGAGCTCATACAAAGTCAAGGGTGTCTCTGTCTCTCTGTCTCCAAAACAAAACAGTGATTAAATACTGAAATTGGTCCATATCAATACATGTAAACAGAGGTTAAGTTAAATTTGTTTTTTCTTCTAAATTTTACACCATAAATGACAGAATCTCTCATTTTAATCTTATTTATTCAGGTATTTATCTCTCAGACTTGACGTATATTGACTCTGCGTACCCATCTACAGGGAGCATTCTAGAAAGTGAACAGAGAACGAACTTGATGAACAATATACTTAGAATAATCTCAGATTTACAGCAGTCCTGTGAATATGGTAAGCAAGTACAATTATTTCTATTGCGCAATTAATGAAAACAGTTGAAGGTGAAAATGTTTATCCTCTGGTATGCTTTTTTTTTTTTTTTTTTTTTTAAGTGAGGCGTGATCCATTTCTATAATATTCCCATCTGAAAACAGAAACCCTAGGTAACAATGTTCTGGAATTGTACCAGCACCTAGAGATAGAGATAGAATGACAGTCACTTATACTCTGTTTGTTATGTAGTTTCAAAACATTTAATCCCTAATGAAAAGCTTGTGCTTTATTCCAGTTAATAAGTTTGGTTGATGCACACTTTTTTTTCTTTTTTACCCCTTTATGGATGGTATCTGAAAATAGCAGATTCACCTTTAAAGTACTTAGAGATCTGGGAACATTAAAATATGTGGTATTTAGACTTACTTCAGTTCTTTAGATACTTTCATAATTTTCAACTGTATTATAAATAAATGAGTTTTAGAAAAGGCAATCTGTCTTACAGGCAAGTTACCCTTCCTCCAACCTTCAGTAAAGTGCTAAGACTGGATCTGTGACTGTCCTTATTTGACAAATTAATACTATGTCATCAGTGCAGAATTACGACTTAACTGCAGGATCAATATAATGAAAATTTGGATGGTGAGGGAAACCATTCTATTCAGATACTGTTTTCAGAATTTCAGGTTTGGGACTTAAGTTTGGTCCTGGCCCATAACTCATCTTGGCTAACATCCTAGCACAGTTGATATGCTTTAGAGAATCAGGTTTGGCTTTCTTTGTGGATGTAAGATAGGTCAGCCCAAACTATCTCTATTTGCTGGAGTATCAGAAAATCACAAAATAGTGGTGAGGCTCATAGCTTGTACTTTATAGCTCAGCATGAATAAATTAAAAGATATTTCTTCACATATAAGAAAGTACCTTTATTTACAGTGAACAATGTAACTAATATTTGGACTGTTTTTTAGATATTCCTCTGTTGCCTCATGTTCAGAAATACCTGAACTCGGTTCAGTACATAGAAGAGCTACAAAAATTCGTAGAAGATGACAATTACAAGTAAGCAAGCAATTCTCCAAGTGAATCTTAATTTTCTTCATATTTAAACATTCAGACATGCTGGTTATGATGGTGAATAGGCTATAGAGTCTGCCTTCATTTAGGATTTTATTTGCATTAAATAAATACATTTAGAGTCAAGGCTGGTATTCCTGAACTATAGACTGTAGTGTAGTATTAAGCTACCCAAGCTGGCTGGGTAAAGAAAGCAATCTAGTGATTGCAGCATGGAACTCAACATGGGCTGGTTTACCTTGTAGAAAATTGGAGTAAAGTGGCTTGTGTGGAGTTTTTATGCTGCCGCAGCTAGACTATTTTTAGTACCTGAGCCAACTTGGGCATCTCTATTCTAAACTACAATCTACAGCATAGACAGATACTTCCATAAGTCTCGTCTCGTTCTCAAGTTTTCCTCTACCCAGTTTCCAGTCTTGATGCACGTGTGAGATATATATGATTGGCTTTGAGTATCAGTTTAAATGGACAGATACAGCTGGGGATGGGGAGCTAGCAGCAGCAGGACTCAGGAGAACCTGGTGGCAGGACCCAGCGGCAGCAGCAGCAAGGCCCGCCCAGCCCTGTCCCACCCCCAACTGGAAGCATCTGCCTAGCAGAAGCTTCTAGCCTGGGACCCTATGGCTGTTTTCCTGCCCTCCCTCCATCTGAGAGGAAAATTCAGATAAAAATGGGCGATGGGAGGATCGCTGATACAGTAGGGGCCAGCTGGCAGCACATGGTTCACAGCTGTATGTTTGGGACCACATGGTGCAGCAGGAGCCAGCCCAGCCTGGCCAGGCCACTGCAGTTCCCGGTTGACTCCTGCTGCACCATACAGTCCCAGCCATGCACCCAGGAACTGCATGCTGCAGGCCCAGTCAGGCTGGCTCCTGCACCATTTAGTTCCTGGCTGCATGGTCAGGACCACACAGCGCAGTAGGAGCCAGCTGGGAACCACAGGGTCCTGACCTGCCTGGCTTGTGCTGCAGTTCCAGCCATGCAGCCAGGAACCATGCAGTGCTGCAGAGGCCAATGGGTAGGCCAGGTGGGGGGAAGCAGTGATGGCAGGAGGGACAGGGCAGCTATGGTAGGTGGAAAGTGGCAGCAAGTGAGAGCATGTTGCCCTGTGGCCAGGGCCGGCAGCAGCAGGAGCCAGCTGGGAACCATGGGGGCCTGGCCAGGCTGAGCTGGCTCCTGCTTTGTTCTGTGTGTCATGCAGCTGGATACTGTGCATTGCAAAGCGGTGGGTGGGCAGTTGTGGGGTGGGGAGGAGTGGTGGTGGTGGGTGGGAAGGAAGGGAAGGGAATTGGCAGGGAAGCGTAGCAGAAGCAGGAAGGGGGAAAGTGGCAGTTAGTGGGAAGGAGCACAGGGCCCATCCTCATGCTCTGGGGCCAGGGTGGGGCAGTAGGAGTATGGAGCCCAGGCTGGTGGCAGGAGCTGTATGGAGCCAGGCCAAGTCTGCCACTTCCCCTGCAGGTAGCCCAACCACATGCAGTCCTGGGGCTCATTGGGATTGTGCACTGCCAGGGGTCTCTGACTACTGCTGGCCATGAGTGCCCTGAGGCCTCACTGCCTACTACTGCTGTTGGTGGCAGGGACTGTGCACAATGAGGGAGGAGGCATGTTTGTAGGGGAGCTCCACACACATGTATCCACACCTCCCTCATGCTGCTGTATGCATACATCACACCCCCTCACACTCCAACCACCTTCCCCCTTCCACACTCAGCCCTCCACACACCCATACCCTCTCTCTCATACACACATATGTGCACACCCACAGCCCCCCACAAACCTTGTACCCATCCATGCATACCCCTGACATCCCTCTACACCCCCAGTATACAAAAGTGAGATTTCATTTCAAGCTATTATGCAATCACCTCTATGTACACTACAAAAACACACATAAATCAGGGCAAAAATATTGTTTGAAATCAAATTAATGTATGTTGTTTGGTTTGTTTGTTTTTTGTTGTTTGTTTTTTTTAAATCTTAAAAAAAAAAAAAAAAAAAAAAAAAAATTGGGGGTTTTTCTAGTTCCAAGATTCCAAGCCCCCTAGCCAAAAGGAGCACTTCTGGTGGCAAGGGGAGGGGACTTCTGGCAGCAAAGGCTAGGAGTTGGGGGGGAAGGACTTATGGTTCCAAGATAGCGATCAGGGGATGGGGTACCTGTCAAGGGGTGGGGCTACCCTTGTGGCCCTTGACAGCTTGCCAGACTTATTTCAGCTGGAAGGCTGCTTAACAATTGTCCCTCTGCCCTCCCCCTCCCCGGTCTATCATCAGTCTTATAGTAATGTTTGGCATTGTAACATTCATTGCTAGAATGGAATTAAGTTTTTAAGTGCATAGTAGTCTAACAGAAGAGGTGGGCATTGGAAATAGGAGGCACAGAGATTTGCATAGAGTAGAAAGTGGGAAGTTGGAGCTGTTTAGAAAGAAAATCAACAGGTTACATGGCAAAAATATGCAAAACACAAAAGAAATAGAAAAGATAAATTAGCTGCTCCTATTTACTCTTTCTCATGATGTAAGAAAAAAGGCATCCAAATAAAATTGGAATTCCTGTATTTACTTGCATACAAGATGCGTTTCCCCCCCCCCCAATTTGGCATGGGAGGAAAGCCCCTTCTCTTATAATCGCGTGCAAGAAAATCTCATTAAATACACTGTCTGTCATTCAACTACTGCCAAAAGAAGCATGTGCTTAGAATTGGAAACAACTGGGAAGTTGATTAAATGCAGCCGATACTAAGCATGACTATAAAATACATGGCCCATATTGTGCAAACATGTTGCTGGGAACCTACCACAAGGTGTTGTGTTGTTTTAGTTTTTAAAGAAAACTTTTCATGTCCTGGGTCAAATTAGCCAGATGAAGTCAGATTCCATTTGAATCCTCCAAGAACCATATTTGGCCCTGCTACCAGCAAGTGTCCTCCACCTCAGCCTGGGGCTGGAGATACTTCCATATCCTTTAGCAGGCATCCTATGTGCAGGCCCAAGCCTGGAGGCTTGGCATTCGGATGCCCCCAAGCATTGCTTGCCCTCAACCATATGGCCACAAGAGCAAGCTAGGGAGAAGTCTCCTATTTCCATGAAGTCAGCATGTAGCTGAGGTCCTCCCACTGGAAGCTGACCAATGGGAAGCTAACTATGAGGCTATCATAGGGAGCAGATAAAGATACAACCCTCTACTGCACAGTGCCATTTCAGTTGCAACAACTTGGTCAAAGTATTTCTCCTGCCACCATTGTGGACATGGTATTTCCCCTGCCAGGTAACTGTGAAGTTCATTACAAGCAACCAACACTGAGCATGGCTGCCACAAGGATAGATTACTGCAGCCCATCTGAATAAGACCTATGGTAGCACCCAGTAAGTGCAGTCCCCTTCACTACCAACTCTTTTTTTTTTTCCCAAGTCATGGTAAGCCACTGTATGGCATATATTTTGACTTCCTCTTCACTCCAAACAGTTGAGCCATACCTTTCTTTTCCGTTTTCAATTATTCCTGTTCACCATCCTTAAATGTTTGGTAAACATCACAAAATGGGGCCCCAAACAGTTTAGCCAGATTCCTTCTCTTGCCCTTTCTCTAAGTCAGGTGCATATGATTAGTATGGCCCCACCCTCCAGGTGGTAAAACCAGATCAGGTTGCCATTTACCTCATCTGCATGCAAATTTTTGGACCATCCCAGGACTTGAGACGAACACCACTTCATGAGGAGACCAGACACTTGCCTTGCTGGGGTCACCTGACCCCCCAGTTACCTTTCCTGCTTGGTGCAGGGGGCTGGACCTGATTGATCTTCCAAGGTCTCTTCTGGCCTTACAATCTATGAAACCTGGTTCCAGTCATGAGTGGGGACTAGTTAGCACGTGGGTCCTTTGTGTGGGTGGTATCTGGAGTACACACACATGCTGAGCAGCAGTGCCATAGCAGTGAAGTTTGGCACTTGGGGCAAAGCCTGCAGCAGCAGCCTGCCCTTGCGCCATGAACAGATCTGAGGGGGGCCTGAGTCCCAGTTTTAGGGGAACAGA